GGAGAGTGATTTGTCACTTTCCCTCTCATTGTCTCTGTCTGTCTCTCTGTCAAGCACACATCCCCTACACAAACACCTTAAAAAATAAAACAAATTTTGCTTTGTAAAAACTATCTGATTATTCAACTTTGTTGAGTTTTACTATTCTAGCATACATATTCCTCACGGAGAATTTAAAAATGAGAGAATCCATTGTCTCTGCATCCCAAACTTACATGGCAGTGCCAAATAGGTCAATTTTAGGTTTCCTCATACAAGGAGAGAGTGCAATATGTGCATAGAGAATAATAGATGAAAAACAACAAATGTTCTAGAAGGTAAGAAATAGAAGAAGGAATGCATTCATTCTCAGAAGAAAGAAGGAAACTTTCTTTCTCAGTGATGGTGAGAAAAAGGTGGTGAATGTAATGCTGTAAAGCAAAAGAAGGAAATTAAGGAACACCTTTCTCTCTCTTTTTTCTCCTATTATTTTTGCCTTTTTAAATTAAATTTAATTTAAATTAAATTAAATTAAATTAAAACACCCCCTTCCCTCACTGTATCTAGTATCTGTAACCATTTTCTATGTTCATATATCCTCTAGTCTTTCCATTGCAGTCATAAATTGTGGACAATCAGTATGTATTAAGTGGAGGCATTCAATGTCTCTCCTTCATAGCCTGGCTTATTTCACTCAGCAGTAAATCTTCTATATTCATCTCCTTTCTGTTAAAAGCCAAGGGCTTTTTTTTATTGCTGAGTAGTATTCAGTATATGTACCACACTTTTTCAATCCATTTCTCTGTTCATTGACATTTGGGTTGGTGCCATGTCTTAGCAATTGTGAATAATGCTACAATAAACATAGATGTGCAAACACTTTTCTGACTAAGGATTCTTCTGTCCTTTGGGTAGATACCAGAGAGTGGGAATGCTGGATCATATGGTAGTTCTATTTGTAGATCTTTGAGGAATCTCCATATTGTTCTCCACAGTGTTTGACCAATTTACATTCCCACCAGCACTTATCACTTTTGTTTTTGAAATCTTAGTCATTTTGACTGTGGTTAGGTGGTATCTCATTGTGGTTTTGACCTGCATATCCCTTATGAGAGGATGTTTAGCATTTTTTCATATACCTTTTGGCTATTGATAAGTCATCCTTGAAGAGTTGTTTTTTCAGCTCATTTTCTCATCTTTTAATTGGGTTGATCATCTTTTCTTTGGGTAAGCCACTTGAGTTCCCCAAGAATTCTGGTTGTCAGTCCTTTACTTGAGGCAGAGTTCATAAAAATATCCTTCCATTCCATAGGCTGTTGATTCATACTAATTATTGTGTCTCTTGCCACGCAGACACTTCTTAATCTGATGTAATCCCACTTGTCTCTATTTGGAATTACTGACTGCTGTAATCTCATTTAAGAAATCTTTGCCTACCTCAATGTCTCTCAGAGTTTCTCCAATATTTTTCACCAATCGTTTTATAGATAGAGGTCTTAGGTTTAGATCTTTGATCCACTTTGAATTGATTTTTTTGTCAATGGTGAAAGGTAGGGATTTAGGGTACCAGCAGTTAGCGTAATGGCTATGTCGCTGGACTCCCACATAGTCGACCGTGGTTCGCGTCCTGGACCCGGTGGCTTAAAACTCACTCCGGGTGTGTGTGCATGCATGCCCAAGATCCCGAGAGGAGAATGGAGGAGAAGGGATTGCAGTGTGACCATCCCCCCTGGGGGGTGATTTCTCGCTTTCTGTCTCTATGTCTCTCTCTGTCTGTCTGGCAAGCGCACACGCCCTATAGCGAAAAACCTCTAAAAAAAAAAAAGAAAAAGAAAAAGAAAGGTAGGGGTTTACATTCATCTTTCTGCAAGTAGATATCCAGTTTTCCCAGTACCATTTGGTGAATAGTTTTTCTTTTTCCCACTGGATTGACTGGTACCCTTTGTCAAAAATCAGTTGGCTGTATATTTTGGGGTTTATTTCTGGGGTCTTTGGTCTGTCCCATTGGTCCACATGTCTGTTTTTGCGCAACTGCTATGCTATTTTTGAATATCACAGCTTTGTAGTATATTTTGGGGTCAGAAAGTGAGATGCTGCCCTCTCCACTCTTCTTGCTCAGGAATGTTTTGGCAATACAAGGTTTAAGAAAAATTGTATATTTGTCTTTTCTAGATCTGTGAAGAATGTCTCTGGTACTTTGATGTCCACTTTCTCCACTCCTTTTCAATATACTACTGGAAGTCCTCTCCAATGTTTTCAAAAAAGAGGACAAAATAAAAAACATTCAAATAGGAAAAGAAGAGGAGAAATTATCTCTATTTGCAGATGACATGATTGGATACATAAAAGACCCAGTGGTACCCATGAAAAAATTTCTGGAAGTAATAAATGAATACAGTTGAGTTGGAGTATCCAAAATCAACATACAGAAATCTATAACATTTCTATATACAAGCAGCAGGCAGACTGAGATAGAACTGAAGAAAGTAATTCCATTTACTATAGCCACAAAAAGTTTAAGATATCTAGGAATAAATCTAACCAAATAAGTTAAAGACAAGGAGAACTATGAGAACCTGAAAAAAAAATTTGAAAATTACACAAAAAAGTGGAAGGACATCCCATGTTCCTGGATTGGAAGAATTAATATAATCGAAATGGCAACCTTACAGAAATTAATCTACATATTTAAGGAATATCTCTTTTGATGATACCATAGAAGACTTGACTGGAGCTTCTAATTCAAAAATGTAGCTAATGATACTCTTTCATAAACCTAAGGATTTTTTTTTTTATATATATATAGCAGGCATTTTCCAAGCTGCCATTTGCTCAGGTTCAAAAACTTGTGGTGCCTATCTGGAGAAAATAATTTTAAGAAGTCATATATTGTATATTTAAACAGTGTTTTTTATCAAAGCACCCAACATTGTAAAACATATGTTTATACAGGCAAACTCCTATATAATTACTACCTTGTAGAGCAATTGGAAATGTACTTAATTTACATATTGTTAAATTTTAGAGTTGATAATGGGAAATGAAAAAAAACATAAATCATATAGAACTACAATTATTATTAATCTATAGGGATTCTTTCACTGCAGTTTTTGGTTAAAGAAAAAAATAATTATCTTCAGAACTCTTACTTTGCTCAAGGGCTATAGAATATACTAAGCTTTAGATTTTAAAACTTCACTTGAAAATTAAATAATTGCAAAGAGAATTGCTAGAGGGTCTTAAATTAATGCCATTCAGATTTAGCAGCATTTGGACATATGTTATTTCTGGATCGCATTTCACTCTCACAAAAATGTGGAAAATATTCTACATACATGACTAGGTCCTTGGTCTATGAACTCCTCTTTGTTTACTTTCTTCTTCTTTTTTTCCCCTTACCTTTTTGATCTTCTGATTTGAAATCAAAATTACACTAAAAGGTAGAAGTTCTTTTTTAATAATTGTTCATAAGTAAGGTTTCTTCTTTAAGTTTATAGGGAAAAAAATACAATTCTCAGAGATAAGCAGTAAGGTCCAAACTTGCATTTAAGTGAATTCGCACACGTCTGGTCATGTCAAACTGGGAAAACAGGTTTACCATAAAAGTTGGCTGAGAGCACAGTAGAAGAGGATTCAGTCAGTGTTATTACAAAATGCTTGGCCATGAGTGGGGAATCTGTGGACCAAGCCTGAAGGAAAGTCACTGTGGAGGAACTGAGGCATTTTCTAGGAGAAACTGAATCCTAAGGGAAGAAAAGGCCAGGTTTTTTGTTTTGTTTTATTTTTTAAATTTGAAAAAAGGAACTTGGTTGATAGCCAGCAGAGTTCTTGTCAATAAAGCATCTTTTGTGTTGTGTGCATTAACTTTGTGTTATCATTTAGTTGTATGAAGGATTATAGAATATAAAGAATCTTCAAATAGAATGTAAAAAGAAATCAGAACACCCCCGCCCACTTCCCCCTAGTTTTCCTTAAAACATTGTACTACTTGGTTCCGGTCCATCAGAGCAGTGGTAAGTGGATCAGCCTTTACTAGGGGCAATGGCCCTCAGCAGATACCAAATACAGACTGTGGTTCCTGCCCAGAAAATGAATGATACTTCCTATCTCCTCCCTGCTCCTAAGATAAAGCCTGAGAAAAAGCTAAGGGATTTCTGACCAGAGCGGTTGTAACAAAAAGATATTTGACTAACAGGAATGTCGCACACAATACAGTAATGACACTCTCCTTAATAATTTCTAGAACACAGGACCAGCAGTTAGCGTAATGGCTATTCACTGGACTCCCATGTAGTCGACCACGGTTTGAGTCCTGGACCTGGTGACTTAAAACTTAAGCCAGGCAAGTGTGCGTGTGTGCGTGCCCAAGATCCCGAGAGGAGAATGGAGAAGGGATTGCAGTGAGGCCATCCTCCCTGGGGGGGGCGGGGGGGGGGGATTTCTCGCTTTCTATCTCTCTGTCTCTGTCTGGCGAGCGCAAGTGCCCTATAGCAAAAAATGAAAAAAAAAAATTCTAGAACACTTCAAAGTGACAAGGGCTGACAACCTAAGTAAGTAGACACTAGAATACAGTGAGTTAAAAAAATGTTTTTTATCATACTCTATTATGTAGCCATGTGTCATTAGTAAAATTTTTATATTAATTGCAAAACAAAGTATTAAAATAATAAAAATTAAAATATTGGAAAGAGCCAAAATAGTTCCATTTTAGGTAATCAATTTATTAGATAAAAGTAAAACACAAGTTTTCTGTGGGATCTTGCTAGAACGGTGACAATGTGGTAAGAAAAATAGACAATCATAAGAAGAGCAAACTAGAGTGATTGTCCATATTGAATATACAGTGAAATGAGTTCTGGAGGTAAAAGACACCATATTTGTAGAAGCTGTTTAATCTTTGATAAATATCTATCAACAGATGCTGGGAAAAAAAAAAAGAATAAAAGGTTCATGGAATGAAATCATAGGAGAGACCCAAAAACCACTGGAGATCTCGCCGTCACTTAGTTTCAGGGATTCACCTAGTAGAAGCCAGTAAATCCATAGCGTCCACAGCATGATGGGCGGCAGCAACCATATCCATAGCGCCTGTAGCAAGAGCCATGTCCATATCCTCCATAGCCAGAGCCATAGCCAAAACCCAGTCTGCGGAAGCTGCCACATCCACATCCACAGCCGTAGCCCAGGCCACCGAAGCCGCCATAGCCATAGCCAAGGCCTCCGTAGTAGCTGCTGTAGTAGCTCATGGTGTCAGGGGTGAGGAGATTGGTTGGCTGTTCAGAAAAGATCTTGAGTGTGAATATCAACAGCTGTACAGAGAGGCTTATATACCCTGCTTAAAGGATGTGATAAAAACATGTGCCTCTCCTTTTTTATCATTCCATGAATTTCACTTGGCTGAGATAACTCATTAGTTCATTATCCTCTGACAACCCTCCTTAAGTATGTCTGAGCTTGTTTGGTTACCTAGTTAGATTGTCTCAAAGCTTTCTGATTTATGAGACGGAATTGCTGTTTCTTCAAAGTATAGACATTTATAATTCTAAATAGAATTCTTTATTACCAGTCACTAAACATCATTCACATGAAAAATTAGAAAATTTTGCATTTCTACTTAAATATATTTTGTCATATGTCTTCTTCAGCGTTATTATAATGGATTCTAAAAATGTCAAGGAAAAGTCAAAGTCAAGGCTCTTAAATTTATCCATTTCTTCAAAACAAACACATATTTTATAGCATGAGAAACAAGGTTTGATTCACTTGTTGTCTATACCAGAACAACAGCAACAGGTCAACTAATATCTAGTTTTAGAAATTTGACCATGCACACTTGTTATATATTTAGTTTTTGCTTTGTACTCCAACATGAAAAATAATTTTATCATTTAACAACATAGTATATTTAGAGTCACAAGTTGAGAGACTATTACAGTGGTCAAAAATTCATATAATGAGAAATCTAGCCTCGATTCTCTTTATATCCTAATTCTTTTTCCATAATAAATCTTTGGTTTTTTTTTTTCTTTTTTTTTGAGAGGTTTTCGCTATAGGGCGCGTGCGCTCGCCAGACAGAGCGAGACATAGAGACAGAAAGCGAGAAATCACCCCCCAGGGGGGATGGTCACGCCACAATCCCTTCTCCTCCATTCTCCTCTCAGGATCTTGGGCACGCGTGCACACGCGCCCGGCGTGAGTTCAAAGCCACCGGGTCCGGGACGCGAACCACGGTCAACTACATGGGAATCCAGTGACATAGGCATTACACTAACTGCTGGTTCCCCCCCCCTTTTTTTTTTAATAAATCTTGATAGTTGTACTACCATAAATGAAAATTGTACCTGCCTCCATACACCACTTTTTGCTCTTTCTTTACATTTTATCATTAATCCATGTATCTTGTAAGGCTTTCAAATCTCTCTTTCAGCATCATCCAATGTCCTTTTCCACTATTTATCACTATATTTAGGTGAACATGTAAATCAGGCAAAATGAATTTGGCTATAATTATTTACTCAAATCAGCACTGTATTCCCTTCATTTAGACTTCCATATTCAACATAATAAATTTTCCCTTATCTTCTCTTTGCCTATTTTGTGCTCTTTTTTTTTTTCTTTTTAGGCAATTTGAAACCAGCCTTTCCTAAACTTTCTGAGATATTGATAATGTTGTTTCTTGTTTAAAACATATTGTGATTCTTGGGACCAGCAGTTAACGTAATGGCTGTGTGGCTGAATTCCCATGTAGCTGACCATGGTTCGAGTCCCAGACCTGGTGGCTTAGACTCACACCGGGCATGTGTGCATGCATGCCCAAGATCCCAAGAGTAGAATGGAGAAGGGATTGCGGTGTGGCCATCCACCTGGGGGGTGATTTTTCGCTTTGTATCTCTCTGTCTTTCTGGTGAGTGCACGTGCTCTATAGCAGAAACCTCTCCAAAAAAATAAAAAAGAAATTGTAACTCTTAAAATTACCTGAAATCTAAAAGGACTTGAGCAACTTAGAATAACTTACAAATTATCTAAACATAAAGAATAATTGAAAAGTAAAAGCTGACAAAATAAAACAAACAGAAATAAGAAAAAGCTCTTTCAGGACACCTGCACTGGTATTCAGAGTCTTTTAGCTTGGCCCAGTGAGTTAGCACTATGCAATGCTGACTTCATACCTGATGAAGCCTCACCCAGATGTCTCCATAGCTTAAAATATAGAACTCCAAAAACTAGTTGTTTTATATGACTATAATTATATTGCTAAGCTTTTGTTAATATTTATGAGTAATATTTGGATCAATTTTTTTCAACAGGCTTATTCTCCAATCTAACCTAGTGTCAAAACAAAGGTTAACACTTAGTTGGCTCTCAAAATATTTTTGAATAAATAACTTCAACAGTAGATATAGCAAGGGCCATGAGTAGTGTAATGCAAACAACTGACTATTATAGGACATATTTTAAGACTAACATGAGTTTCTGGTGTCAGAGTTGACCCATCAGAGTTGACCCAACTACTAGTTGACCCAACATTTTATTTCCCATTTCATAAAGCTAATCAGTTGACAAAATATGTACTTTTACTTTAAATAAATCATTTAGAATTATTCATAAATTACATAGCATTAAGAATTTCACATTCTTTTTGTGTAGCTCTGTCCAAACATATGACCGTGATTAAGGACTATTTTTTGTATTCAATGTATGACTGTCTCTATATTTAGAAATAACGTGGGATGCAAATAAAAAACTTCAATAATACAATAAATACTAAAATGTGTTTTCAAGGAAGACAGCATATGACTCTAATGTGCATAACATATTTTATCATTAGCTATAAAAATGAGAGAAAATGTTGGAAGAATGTATGACAAATATGCTTTTCTCTCCATATACCCAAGCAAAAATATCTCATTGGAATTTTCTTTGAGGAGTATTGTTTTTCTGTCCATTCATTGAACCAAAGGCACATTTGAAACATTTTTTTAATAAAGTTTTAACTCACGACCAAGTTGTTATTCCTATTGATAGGTAAAAAAGATAAAAAATGTTTTCACATTCTCCCTAGAAGACCTCTTTTGTTAGAAATTCACAACATCTTCTCTCTTCTTGGATATGATCAATATAATCTTAACAGAATGAAATCATAATAATATTGACTATACTATGAATGTCAGTAGCAATCGTAGTTATATTGATTACTACCTTTAGCCCCATAGAAACAGTCCTTGGAGACATTACCCAAATGAGAGGAAAATAGTTCCTAAGAAATCCTGTTTTACTGGATTGTATTGACAGTGTGGTCTTCAATAGAGTTACCTGTTCTATCTTCCTGGCTCAGTCCACTGTGTTGGTGCACATAACTCCTCAGAAAACGGTCATGATATGTCGAATTTTAACATCGCTCATTGGTTAGTTCCTGTCTGAACCAAACAAATTAAAACTTGGTTATTTTAATTCTCTAGGTAGACAATAAAAATGTTTTTAAAAATGTTTAATCTAAGAAAAGGGACAAATTTCATAAGAGCAGTTGTGATAGTTTAGCTCTTCTTAAAAATAATAACCAGAATTTCCAGTAAGGTTTATGGCAGCACTCAAGGAGAAAATGCAGAAAAAGAGACCACAATATATTCAAAATACCTGGGACTCAGCATAACAAAATTCTGATCTAAGTCTTGTCACTTATTATCAGGAAACGTAACATATTTTGAGCTTCTCCATCTGCAAAATTAAAGAGAATAGCAGTTTGTAATGGTCCTTTCTGTTTTTCAATTTAGTGAGTCTTTTTTTTTTGTCCTCACTTTTTCACCTTTAGTCAGCTTATCAGACATATTTAAGTTCATATTATTATCTGAAGGTACTATTCAATTTTAAAATAGTTTTGACTATTTTTTTAAAATGATATATTACTGAAGGGGGTGTGGTGAAAGGGGAACACTCCTACACCGTTGGTGTGTGGTGAAAGGGGAACACTCCTACACCGTTGGGGGGAATGTAAATTGGCCCAGCCACTGTGGAGAATGTTATGGAGGTTCCTCAAAGACCTTCAAATAGAACTACTGTATAGTCTAGCAATTCCAATCCTGGGTATCTATCCAAAGAACAGGAGAGCACTCAGTAGGAAAAGCGCTTGTACATCTATATTAATTGCAGCCTTATTCGTGATTACTAAGACATGGAACCACCCCAAATGTCCACGAACAAATGAATGTATTGAAAAATTGTGACACATATACTCCATGGAATGCTATTCAGCCATAAAAAACAACAAGGCCCTAGAATTTGATAAAAAGTGGATGAATATGGAAGATTTGCTGCTGAATGAAGCAAGTCAGGCTATGAAAGAGAGACACTGTATGTCTCCACTTAACATATACCGACTGTCTGCACTCTATGGTAGAGACTAAAAGACTGGAGAACATAAAAGTATTAAAAATTATAATGGAAACTAGAGACAAAGTGGAAAGAGAGTGTGGGAGGAAAAGAGTGTAGGAAATTTGAGGGAAAAATGGTTAGGGAAGACATTTGTGGGACACAGATAAGGTTTATTATCTGTTGACGAAATGTGTATGGTGGTCTCAACTGGGCTGGACTGAGGTGTATATCATGCTGGGTAAAGTCTCTTTGTAATCTAAATGATGCATAGCAATTTAATATATGAATAATAATAAAAAGACATAAATATAATAAAAGATATATTACTGAAATTTATTATATTTTAAATATTGAGTAGTCAGTTAAAGCCATATATTTTACTTGATAATGATATTTATGTGTATTATTTTAACTGATTACAAGTTCTTCAGAATGATCATGTTGATAATTGAAAAAATCAATATTCTCATAAGAAGACAAGTGAAATGAGTTGAATGACTAAAGTTTACATTGTACCTTACAGTTTCCCAAGGAACTTTGAGTTAGGTTTAATTTACATATATAACAAACTAGAAGAAAGATCAGGAGAAAAGGAAGGTTATAATATTTCAAAGATTCAGCAAAAAAAGAAAGTTTACTTTCTCTAAAAGTTTAGTGGTATAGATTATTATAGTTATGGAAATAGAGTTTGTTCTGATTACAGTATTAATCATACAAATGTTATGATGGTTATTTTTAAGTATTAGGTTGACTGAGTTAAAGGATGTCAGGATAACTGTAAAAATATGACTTCTGGGTATGTCCGTGAAGATGTTTCAGGAAGAGATTAGCATATTTCATAAAGATCTTCCTCACCTATCTGGGTGGGAACCACACA